CATTGGAGCCTGTGGAGGTGGTGAGAGGGAAATTGGAGCAGGACGGAGCTGGGACCCACATCCCCTCTCCCCCCTCTCCTCCCCCATAGGGGTACCTGGGCCAAAGTCGACAGTGGCGTAGAGCCCCTGCAGCGTGCCACAGCGCAGCTCCTCAGCCCGCGTGCCATCGGTGGTGAACAGCAGCACCTCGCTCCCCAGCAGTGCTCGGAAGGAGCCCAGCAGGTGCTGCAGGTACTTGTAGTCACAGGCGTAGTAGCTCCCGTATTCATTCTCCACCTTTGAGCAGGGCAGGGGCTGTCACCCAGCGAGCACACGGCAGGGCTGCAGCCAGGTCCTGCCACGCACTGGGATGAGCACTCAGATCCCCCTTTCCCTCCTGACAACATTAGATATTGTGACAGTCCCCAGGTGCATCCTAAGACTTATCTTCCAACCCCACTATGACCCCCACCTCTGCCAGTGTCCCTCAAACCACAGTCAGGGTGGTGGCAGGTACCCCAGAGTCTCAGCCCTTGGATTTAAACCCAGGTCCAGAGGTTGAGAGGGATTTATCTACGACCTGTGCCAGATGGGGACATGGTGTAGGGGGTACAGGTGGCTTTTTGGGACACATCCAAAGGTGACTCAAAGCAGGTCAAGGGGCCAGGTCCCACAGCACCCTACCTGTATGCTGATGATGTTACCCCCATGCTGGTACAGGCGTGGCTTGATCTTGGGTAGCAGGACATGGAGCCAGGAGTCCACGGCTGCCAGGTAGGCTGAGGGGAGAGAGGGCAGCTCAGCCTGACTGCAGCATCCCCCCCAGCCCACCCACAGCCAGCCCTGCCAGGAGGAGGATGGAGCAGATGGGGCAGAGCAGAGCACGATGCTGGAAGCAGAGCTGGAGGACAAACCATGGTTCTCCCAAAAGATGAAGAGGATGGGAGAGGCCACAGAGTGGGGCTGGGGGCCCGGCCCCCCCCCCCGCCGTACCAGGACTGGCACCAGGCTTTAAGGACACAGTGGCCAGAGCCCCGTGCCAAGGCTCACCGGGGTCGGAGGAGCGCAGGACGATGTCTGGTTTCCACAGCAGCCAGGCGGGCAGGCCACCCTGGAGAAACATCCACAGGCGAGAGGGAGGCAGAGAAACCGCTCAGCAGCCCGGGCTGGCACACAGCCAAAACCAGGCCAGGGCAGTGCTAACGCTGGGCACGGGAATGGCACATGTCCCACAGAGCAGCAGTCTGGGCATGGCTGGGGTGGCACTGGCGTCATCGTGCCACCCAGAAAGGTCAACCCTGCTGTGCCCTTCCTGGGCCACCCATGACCCCCTAATCCCAGGACTGGGGGCTGGGGCTCACCATCTCCCACTCCGCACAGATGTAGGGCCCCGGCCGCAGGATCACCAGAAGTCCCAGCTCAGCTGTCAGGTCCAGGAAGGCTTCCACATCCCGGTCCCCAGCAAAGTCATAAACCCCTGGCAGTGGCTCATGGTAGTTCCAGGGGACATAGCTGTGGCGAGAGGGGAGATCAGCACACAGGGACTAAAGGCATCCTGGAATGACAGGGAATTGTCCCACAGGCTGGTCCCC